ATCCTAGCTACTCAGGAGGCTGAGATCTGAGGATCGCGGTTCAAAGCCAGCCTGGGCAGGAAAGACCGTGAGACTCCTATCTCCAATAAACCACCAGGAAACCGGAAGTGGCGCTGTAGCTCAAGTGGTAGAGAGCTCGCCTTGAGCTGAAGAGCTGAGGGACAGCGCCCAGGCCCAGAGTTCAAGCCCCATGGCCGACCAAAAAAGAAAATATTCCTTGAGGTTTGACTTAGAGATAAGTAAATTATCTAAATAGTAAAAGAGACAACCATACAGGTCTATATAAAAAACAAACAGCCTAAAGTATGTCTTTATAAAATGGATTTAAATTCTGAAATAAGTGGAATAGTAGATAGCCACTGGTATTAAAACTGTCAGAAAAATGTCCAGAATATAAATTTAAATGGGAAAAAAGTTTACAGAATACCATGTTCCCATTTTAAAAAATGAATACATGTATTTTTATACTAGAAACAATTTGGGATGATACATTCTGAAGTGTGAGTATGTTTTTCTCTGTTACCCAACTGACTTATACATATCTGTAATTTGCTTTCAAAAGCTGTCTCTCACAGTGACAAAGATATGGAGAGGAACTGAATGAGAGGAGGCAAGGGCCAATTACTTGAATTCACATGGGTAGCACAGGCAAGTCCAAGAGTGGCGCAGGAGTAGAATTAGAAAGGAGAAACAAAGCAGACATGAGGAAGGCTGGAGAGACCTGAATCAACATTATACCTGTCTAAATACATACTTGATTCTTTTCATAGAAAGTTGAAGAATTGATGCTTAGGTTTTTCTAATGATACTACATGGTAAGTTCCAGTCAATGTCTATCCATTCAAGAAAAATATTTTATGCAGTTACCTTCTCTCACTTTACCCAGCCACCTCCTACCAACTCCCTAGTCATACTGTCTCAGAAGCAGGGACTCTTGTATTTGTTCTTTCTGTTCCTGAAAATAGATGAGAAGAAGATGAGCTTCAAAGGCTGTGTCTAGTCAAGACACTTGTCATTGGTCAAGAGTGCTTTTGATAGTATTTGAAAATAATGTGTATATATGTATGCATGTGTTTTGCTATTAGAGACAGGGCTTTCTCTGTAGCCCAGGCTGGCCTTCAACTGTCAATCCTACTCAGCCTCTCAAATGCAGGGATTGTAGGTGTGCGTCACTACCCTATGCTCTTTGTTTTAATGACATTTTTCCTGCCTGTGTTACAATTAAAAAAAAAAATCTTGGAGTATGTACTGGAGTTTTTGTCCAGCTCTGGGTGACATATTTCTAATAAAGTATAGTAATAGTTTGGTTTATTAATGTAACAGTGTACTTAAGAAAGACTTTCCTGGGTCTGGGAAGGTGGCTCAGTGGTAGAGCTCTTGCCTTGCATGCTTGAGGCCCTGGGTTCCAATCCTCAGCACAACATAAGCAGAAAAAAAAGCTGGAAGTGGTGCTGTAGCTCAAGTGGTAGAGTGCTAGCCTTGAGCTGAAGAGCTGAGGGACAATTCCCAGACCCAGAGTTCAGGCCCCCTGACTGGACTCCCCTCTCCCTCCCCCCCCCAAAAAAAAGACTTTATTAGCCTGAAATGCTTCTGGCAGAATGCCTTTGTAGGACTTTAGCATGTTTATTAACAGGATAATATGTATGTCGAATCACAGGAGAAGTCTTGCTAAAATTTTTTACTAGTGGTAAAAGATTGTAAGACAAGTTGCATTTTTGTACACTTGATTATTAGATTATTAGTATGTTTTAATAGGTTGAATCTGTATTATGTATCCTTAACATTTCACTTGTCACTGGTGAATGAAGCTTTTCTTTTTGTTTCTTCTACTAGGTTTCAGCATTAAAAACAATGGCCAGTCAAGGAGGTCCCAAGTATACCCTTTCCCAGCAGCCTTGGGCACAACCAGGTATTCAGATTTTATTCTTTCTGGTTGATTTTTTAAGATTGCTATTAATTTGCATTTATGTTCCTTGCTGTGACAGCTTGGAGTCTTCTTACTTACTCTGGGATGCTAGATTGGAGTTGATAGAAGCCATTTGGAGCTGGCAGGTTTTTCTGGGCTAGCACTACTCATGCTTCAGCAAGCTTTCCAAGAAAGGAAGAATTAAAAACAAAATTTAAGTAGTTAAAAATAAAATGTGGTGTAGATTAAGGAAACATTTTTGAGTCATTTGGTTTCTGTACAACACTGTTCATTGGGATAGAATACTGTATTTGATAGTGAAATTATGAGAGACTATACCTGTTTTCAAGTAAGTGAAGAAATGTTGGGTCACTTTCCTTCTACATTTTCTTTAACTTACATTGCCTGCTGACATTTTGGAGTGTTTGCAAAAAAAAAAAAATTGAGTTATTGGTAAGACTCAGCAGGCAGTATCATTACCTGGTTATTTTTGGTACATTTTGTGGCATTTTATGTAGCCATCCAACCAGAATAAATCATTTGTCCATCTCCTAACCTTTATTAAACTTAGAAATGGTGACAACATGATGAAAGAATGGTATTAGGTTTTCCTTGTTTTCTTTTCTTTTCTTTTTGAGAAAGGATCATGTTACATAGCCAGGCTGGCCTCAAATTCCATAGGTGTGTACTTCCAATTGGCTTAAGAAAGGTGTTTTAATTATGGATAAACCATGTTCACATTGGAGGGTAGCTTTTGCTATGAGCTATGAGTGTTGTTCTGGCTTTCATCCATGAAAACTGGCTGCTTCAGACATCTAATCAACTTTCTAATATGGCTACTGTTCCATATTGAGTGAATGGTACTGTCTGATAGATATTTCCTTGGGCTAAAGGACTGAAGTCATCTTAAACCTTCAGAATTTTCACTTACAAATGTCTGGGTTAATGTGAATGTGAACTAAAATTAGTAACTGTGTATGTATCTCTTAGAAAGATGTGTAAATGTAGAAAATTCTCATTGAAAGGAAGACAAGAGTTGGTTTTTTGTTTCGTTTGTTTTTTGCTGAGTTGAACTCAGTGTGGTGCTGTCCCTGAGCCTCTTTGTGCTCAAGGCTAGTTTTCTACCACTAAAGCCATTAGTGCTACTCCCAGCTTTTTCTGAGTAGTTTAATGGAGATAAGAGTCTCAGACTTTTTCCAGCCTTGGCTGGCTTTGATCCTTAGATCTCAGCCTCTTGAACAGCTAAGATTATGGGAATGAGCCACCAGTGCACAGCTAAAACAAGAGTTTTATTTCAAATATTTCTTGTGTATACTTTCAGAATATCAATGCAGATTTGTACTTTGCTTTATGGGAAGTAAACTTTGTGCTTTGTGACGTGTTTTTGTTCTTTTGTTTATTGTATGGAGACAGTGAATATTCTACCTTCTTTTTGCACATGTGTATGAGATTAACATCTTAGACATATTTTAACAAACAGAGCACACTGAGGCTGTACTGCATTGTGTCAAGAGACAGAAAACCAGCATCTTTTACTGAGAGTAGTGGACCTGCTATCCTAGGTTGCTGCTGTGTTAACCACCTATCCTGATTCTTCAGTCTGGAAGCACATTTGTCAGTTCTTTTTTTTTTTTTTTTGAATTTTTTTCTTTTTTTTAATTTAATTTAATTTTATTTGTGAACATACTGTACAGAGGGGTTACAATTACATGGGCAGGATAATGCGTACATTTCT